ACCAAGCCTTCTCCATGATTGTTCTCGAATGCCTTTCCGGTCAGCTTCTTTCGCAGCTCATTCGAACACAAGGTCAATTACATCGAGCCTCCTCCAAGGAAATATTGTCACGACCGAACAACATTGTGTCCACGATGTTCCCATAAGACAAAGGCAAGGAACACAAAAAGAATCAAAGCTTGGTCTTCGTCATCGATTTTTATATCTATATTACTGAGATCTATAATGATAGAATTCAATCTATCAAGGTGCTCGGCTATGGGCATACTTTCCTCCATTTTCAGGGTGTAGAGTCTTTGCTTGAGGTAGATAGGTTAGTCAATGACTTCGTCATATACTTGGTCTCTAACTTGCTCCACAAAGCAGGTGCTGTCTTTTCACTTGCTACCTCTCGCAAAACTTCATCTCCAAGACTAAGTAGAATGGCACTATGTGCCTTTTCCATGATCTCGTCCTTTTGCTCATCCGAGAGCGTGGATGCCAATTTCTCTTTACCCTCTAAAGCCTTAAACAAGCCTTGTTGTACCAGCCCGCATCTTGATGCACCACAAACTGAAACTATTCTTGGAGGTGAATTTATCGACCTCGTACTTGGTCGACGATCCACTTGAAGCCATATTGACGGAGTAGACAGACAACTCAAATCACACACGGCGGAAGCAACAAAGAATACCGCAAAGTCAGACGGACTATCGAAACTCGGCTCTGATACCTGCTTGTTGTGACAGGGAGACCGATTCGAGCTGATGGTCGACCTTAGCGGCCTCGAGTAATATTCACACGAAAAGTGATGGGATGGTAGAGTGGCATATATACATGAAGGGCCCATGAAACTACTAGCTTAGGCTTTTGGTTTCGAGTGGTGTCCAACATACATGTATGTATGTGATGGATCTCTAGGTGGGCTGGGTGCACATGGGCCGGGCCCGGTTCCAGTTCCCCCAAGAGTAAGGTTCCCCCTTTGACCCCCGAATAGCGGGATGATTAGGGGCTTGTTTTTAAGCAGCTGGTTTCCACGTAGCTACATAGGATAGATAGTTTCTAAAAGCTACAACCTTATATTCTTATTATTCTTCGAAAACATACCGAGGTTTTTGCAATTTCTCTACTAAGAATGAACCTAAGAAAAACCATTAAGCCTTTACTTTCTTCTTTGATCGCTAGACCTTTGGGGCGATCCCCCTGAACTTAACAACAGCCTAAAGGGAGGCCTTAGGTCAATGTAATCTTTAGAAGTTCAGTCAAACAAGCAAGGGATTGAGCAAGACGCGCGAAAGCCGTTGCGCTAACGCGCATCCGTTTTCTTGCTGCTTCGAAAAGTTCGTTCCCTTCGAATCTTATATGATATTTCTACTTTTTCTGCACAAGCCATTCCTTGGAAGATTAGCTTTTCTCCATTTCCTTCCTGGTCGGAAGAGATCGGATAATCGGTTGCGGACAATTTCCAGTCATAGACGGGAAGCATGGGTCCGGGGTTATGGTGACCAGTGATCTAGTCCATCGAGCCAGCCCCGGGAACAACAACGGTAGAGGAAGATCGGACGAAAGCATATTAAGCGCGAATGGCCAATGTGATCCCCACCCTGAAGCCAATCTTTCAAAGGTGAGAGAAGGTGAGCCCAGCCCGTCGCACCAAAAGCAGAGGGCTGGTGTAGTTGCTCGAGCAAAAGGAGGAGGTCTTTCGACAAATTTCTCACACGAGTTTGAACGAGAATCATCTATTTTCTCATTGAATTGAGGGGGGCTGATCGAAAGATTCCCCAAGTGCCCCCTCTCCCGCGCCAGTTCAGAGTCAGAGTCTTCCCCGTTGGCCAGTCAGAAGATGAGGCATCGAAGAGTATGAAAGTAGGTGAGCCGTAAGAACGCACCATACCAAGGTGATAGCAATTAACTCCTATTGTTGATGTTGATTTATCACAAGACTAGAAATTGCATAAAATCAGAGTCGCCTTACTCTAAATCAAAGCTCTGTCGACGCCAGTGGGTCAATGCTTCTAGGAAAAAAGACTTGGATTACTACCTACTCTAGCCCCTACACCATCAGGTATTTTTTAATAGAAGACCGCTTCGATCAAAGATTCAGGGAGTCCAATGGATCATATCCGCATGAACACATACCCGCGAGTTACCATGAGTTAGGATACGGAGTTGTTGGAAGAGAAATGTTGTTGATTCTCGAATTGGCCTATAGGTCTTGACTTGATCTTACTCAGCCGAAGCAAAAGAATATCGTCAGAGAGGTGATGAAGCAAGTTCAGTAGCCCGTATTCATAAGGCAGCTCAATCTGCATTGAGGTTCGATGTAATTGAGGAGCGGTAGACAGGATTCTCGTTCGTATAGCAAGTGTCTTATATGGAGCATCTGTGTCATAAGTAGCCTGAATCTATCGGCTGGACTCTCCTTTATAGTCGAGCATCTTCCAATGCCGATTTGGCTACGGGGACGTAGTGAAGTATGAATAGAATCAGGCTTAGGTCTTTCACCGACATCGCACATGATAGGTTTCTTCGAAATCTCATATTCAAGCTTCTTTCGCTTCGTTAGCTTTACATACGAAGTCTTATTCACTGCGTTCGCATGTTCAATGCCACTTTCTTTATCGGTCGATGGTTGTGATTCATCTTTAGGTGATGGAACCTATGCCAATTCATAAGACAGTTCTGTCATCCCTGCGTCGAGAATTTCCTCCTTTTGCGCTATTCCTTAAAGTTCAGGTAGCTCAGCTGGTTAGACCATACATAGCTCGGAGCTTCGAACGAAAAGGGGCCCCTATCTTCTAGGAAGAAGGGCAATGCCGCTTGTAAAGCTCTTTTGTCGTGAAGAAATCTTTATCCCTTTTTATCGGCAAGCAAGGCCAAAAGCAAGAAAAGATATCTCAATCCCACTCAAAGGCCATGGGGTTTTTTGACAAAGTACATCAGTAGATGTTACAATCATACGTAGCTCCCTTGAGCAATTTTCCATTCTTGTCCATGGTGTTCAATCCCCTGTTATAGGACTGCGAATACGGCTACACATTCGATCAAGGTTGTTGGTCTGATCGGTACATGGCTGTCGTCTGGCTGGCTGTCTATCTTCTTATGTGCGAAATGAATGTGGGTTGGTCCTTAAGGGTCTTCTACGGGTTGGTTCTTCGATAGAAACTATTTTCGCATCGATCTAGGTAACCTTGAAAT